GTGGTGTGTGTGTGGGGTGAATTGGGCCTTTAAGACCCCAATAAGCAGCAGTGTGTTCAGGTATTCTGATGAGAAATTGAGGGGGTTTTGTTTGCGTTAAAAATTTTGCTGAAGCACCTGTTTGTTTGGGAAAAGGTATCATGGCTCAGCTTGAATCCCGCTCTCCATCCCCATCTCCCCTGCCCTCCTGTCTCCTCCTGCTCCCTTCTCCATTCTGCCCTGGGAGAGGTGAAATCTGAATGCTGCGGCTTTCCTGTGTTATTCCTGTGAGCGTCAGGTAGACAAGCTATTGCAGGAGCTGAATATGCTGGAGAAGGAGAAAACTTAACGAGTGTGTGCCAGCAATTGCAAACACAAGAGACGAGTCAAAATTTTGGCTGGCCGATAACTTGGTGTGGTTACACCAGCCAGCTCCCCGGCTGCCGTCCCTGGCAGCAGGTTTTGTTGCCTTCCTGTGCTCACAGCACTATGTGTGTTGCTGTCTTGTTAAGAGTCACCTGGGCACAAAACAAGAGGATTTGACATATTTTAAAGCTTAGAAACTCATTAGTTCTGTGGAGCTTGTTACATTGTGTGGTTATATATATGTACATGGTGCTGGCTTCTAGTGAATGGGAGCACGGAGGATGCAAGTCTCATGTGATGTATGTCGGCATCTGCCAAAGTCAGCGGAGGTACTGCAGTTCATGTTATCCATGGAAGCTTTATTATCATTAAATCTTCTATACTACTATAATTAAATCCTCTATACATAAAATTCGAAAGGAGAGAACAAATAAGAAACATCCATCGAAATTGGGTTTGTGCTATGTTAGCCTTAACTTGAGTAGCAGCCTGCAGGGAAATGAGGTGTTCTTGCTGTTGTGTACTGAAAAATGCTGTGAAACGTACACAGGCTGAAAGTTGCTGTTGCATGTGAGGAAGGATAGGATTTGCCCTGCTGAGAAAGACGCTTTTGGTACCATTAATGGAAAGTTTGTGATGCTGCTTATACATCCACTTGTTTTTTATTACCTTGAGTAGCCCAACTTATTTTACTGGCGCTACCTCTTTTAGTCCCAATAGGAAGGTGTATCAGAGCTGGAAGACCTGGGGGCTGAAGTCCTGAGCTGTGAGTGAATGTCCCTTGCGTTGGAATGGAACAATTTAGTCCATTTTGCACTTGAATTAGTGTTGGAATTTAACCTTCCTAGCCTTTTGCCTCCTGGCTGGTGGCCTTCATAGAGAGAAGCTCTGCAACTAGGAAAACCTCTGTAAGTTCTTACCACGTCAGAAGTATCTGTTACTGGAGAAAAGAACCCTCCAGAAAACATTGTGTGTTAAATATGCGACATATTTTAAGTGGTAGATTTAAAACCATCAGTTATCAGTGATATTTTTAGAGGTGTGATGCCATATACTAAGATATTTTTTGATATATGCAGAAGACCTTCTCAGCATTTTGATTTAGACTAAAATGTGGGCAAATATTACCTATGTAAAGATTCTAAAAAGTGTTTATACATTTAGTATTAACATCACATTTTTTCCCTTTCTGCTTAAGTCTTAATCTCATAAATATTAAGCATACTGTTTAGTTGACTATTTAAAAATATACATTAGAATTAATTATAAATAATTTCTTACTTTCTGAATGTAAAATTGATAGTTGCTTCATGAGAGTTAGGACTGAAGAAAGTTGTATTTCTACTTTAAGTTCTGTAAAAGTTTTTGAAACTGGTCTTATCAGTTATAATTCTGGTATTTCAGCACAACAAAAATTTAACTTCAGATAGATTTCACAGACTCATTTGCATAGTAATGTATTTACTCTATATGACCCTTTCACTTAACTGAATAATTCCATATATAATTCTTCTCTGGCATTATTATTTCTAACAAAGAATGTCTTTGATCCATAGGGATTTCTGTAGCGATAGCATGAATGCAAACATTCTGAAGAATTGCATTTACCTAACAACAAAAGCTATATGGTTTGTAAAACATGAATGAAAACTAATGCGTGTGTGAGCTCACTTGCTGAAGTTTCACTCGAGTCAGCGAAATGGAAATTGAAGTTCATCTCAGCGTATTTTAGAAGGTCCTTTTCATTTAAAAACAATGATAGAACCTGTGGAAGTTTGTGGACGAATTTAACTCATTTGAAAGTGATGAACGTGACAGTTCTATTCAGACAGTTGATGGTGCTTAACAATACATTGTACCTTTTTTCTCTTTTTTTTTCCATAAGCTGCTGCACAGACCTGAGAAAGGCCTTTTTTTCCTTTTGTATAGAAACTTTCTGTTGTTGTGGCTCCTGACTGCTCAGCAGAACGTGTTATTCGGGGAATATAGTATGCTCTGTGTCAGTTTTTCTTCCTTTTTTAAATTAAAAACATAAAATTAAAATATCTGGTAGTAATAGAGGCATGATTAGTCTAAATGTATGCTTGTCTCGGGGCATTCAGCCTACCAGCAGTGGATAAGGATTCTTGCTTAATTGGGACAGAATTAGTGGGGAAGTGTTTGGCGGGTGGAAAGTGGGAAACTCTCAGCCTTGCCCTGGTAGTAAAGGAGTAGGCACATAAAGATTCAAAGAATAAATAAAGAGGAAATGCAATAATTGTTTTTTAACTCAGTATAGTATGTGTAAATATAGTGCCATATCTATACCTATACACACACATATGGACATGGTATTAAAATAGTAATTGCATTTTCTTTTTCCGTACTCTTGACTAATAAATAGCGTGTGTACTCTGAATTATTTTTCCCGTCAGTCTTCATCCAAATAAAACTAGAGGCCTTTTTTTTTTTTGTAAGGAAGGAGAAAGACAATTTGGTTTTAGTTTGTAAAACTGAGTGAGGGAATAAATAGGGTGGCTGAGTAAAAGGATTATGTTGTACAAGTGTATTACGATTTATGGGGCAAATTGTGCAAAATACACTGTATATTTATGTAATAATTCTACTAACAATATGGAAAAATATTTTCCAGAGGTGGCAACAGCTTGGTAATTGTAGAATCACCAAAAATAGATTTCTTGGGGATTTTTTTTAACTTCATGAAAATAGTGTCTGTTCTTTTAGAGTCTGTGACTCAGCGAAGAAAAACTTTAAGCAATTTCATTTGGATCATAAATAATCGTTTTCATTTTTTCTTTTAGAAAAGATGCAAATGCCGCATTGCTGAGTAACTTCGAGGTAAGCTTGTCTGCATCCTGGTTTTAAACCAGCAGTTTAAAGTCGTAATCATTCCCTTAGTACACTTCCTTGGAAGCTGAAAATTGCCCGTGGCAACCAGCAAGACCTATATGTGATTTCCACCTCCGCCCCACGTCTGATTTGTTTTTAAGAAGAAAGCTTTTTAAAGAAGATCTGGAAAGGTTTTCGTCAGTAATTGATACTCTATCATTATTTGTTTGGTCCCGAATCTATAAAAACATATATAAATGTTTTTCAAATAGATGAGGAGCAGATCTTTAGAATGTCAGTAACTTTAACTTCAGCCTTGTTGTATTTACACTGTTGCGGTGTGCTTAGTTTGTTGAATCTTCTTGTGTGTGGTCGCTTGTTATTTAGGAGTTCATTCTCCACATCCTTATATGCTTGTGTATTGGAGCAAGTGCACTGCATTCGCTGTATGTTGTATGGTGCATCGAATCCCAAGTCGGGAACGTTGACACCTCTGTAACTGGGCAGCAATGTCCAAAATACCTTTTTAAAAAAATTTTATCTTATGTTAAGCCAGTATACCACCAAGTCTGTGACACGCAGATTGCTGGAGTCTCTTTAATATTGCAAATAAAAATTCTCACAGAAAAATTCAAATATTTTTGCACAGATGGCTGCTGCTGGAATCAATGTTTGGTATTTAACTTTAACCTTGTGGTATGCAGTATCATCTGAGAACCTATAACTCATTAATGCATAGTTTTATTAAAGCCAGTGCTACTGGAAATGCAGTCTTACACCTCTGAATGCTTGACAGTATTTTTTTTAAAGATCTTGAGGTGTTTCCAAATCAGGTTAGGTTACAGTAAGGGTGAGGCAGTTTGCTGATGGGAGATGTGTTACTCAGGATAAACACTCGTAGAAGCCAGTGATGTACCATGGTCTGGTGTCATGGGGAAGCTACAGTGCCCTGTCATAACAAACAATGAATATTGGCATACAAATAACAAATAAAAAAATAACCTCATTTTCTAGCGAGGATAAGTTCTGAATCATTTTCCTCTCTTGAGTAAAGGTATTTTTTTAGTGAAGTAGAAAGAAACGTAGTGTTCTTGTTGGTTTAACTTCAGCCAGATAATGGAAAGATTCCAGTGCTTTGTTTATGAATGTAATTTTTTGAACGGTTTTAATAACCTAAGTGCTTTGTTTATATTGTTTTATTGCTGAAGCTTCAAAGTTGCACAGCTGTTTCATCCTATTCTGAAATAAATCTTGAAATGTTTTCTCTTGAGCTGCATCTGTCTGCATACAGCAGGGCAACCATCTGGTGACTGTTAGAAGAACTTTAATGAGGTACTTGGAAAAAACTGTCTTGCTTAAGAAATAGACTGTGTCAGCCAAAGTAGTATTAAGTGTCTGTTTGTTAAAAACATGTACTATTGCAGTACAGAAAATAGCAAGTATTTCCAAGATTATTTATTGCAAAATTATCTCTACTTCTTCGTTTGCTGGGATATTTGTTGGAATCTAGAATTACTACCTGCTGAGGTTCAAGTAGTGGTGTCAGTCACATGATGTAAAATCTATAGGTGTCCTAAAGGTATGATCCCGAATAGGGAGAATCGCAGAATCCGTTCTTGATGCTCTTCAGTCAGAACTTTCTTCAGCTGAGGCTTTTTGTTGGTGAATGTACCCCATGTGTTGAACAAGAGCAAAATAAGGTAGGAACCGAAGTTACTGATGAGAGTGCTTATTTCTCATTTCCCTTTCACAGCAGTTGTCACCCATGCAGCTTTTCGATTCTTTGCAGGAAGGGATTTGCAGTGTCTGCAGCTATAGGCTTTTGGGGCATGGTTTTTCACTGCTCTTCAAAGTACTGATTCCCCTAAAACTACCAACTTCTTTCTGTTTGCTCCTCTTCCCAGTTGCAATTTGACTGGCATAGTTAACGTTCTCTTTATCAAGGTAATATTTTGCACAGAAAGTGGTGTTTGAAGGGAGTATTCAGGACTGACATGTTGTATGTCCTATGCCTACATTTATTCTGTGAGTTTGGAGTTGTCATTTTGTATTTCGTTGTCACCGGCTATATTTTCTTCAAATATTTATTAGATAAAAGTTCATAGCTTGAGTTTTGGCTTTCAAATCAGGATTAACAGGTGTTCCTTTTTTATAGAAGATGCATTATAAAGTAATTGTGGGATTCATAGCTGGTTATATTCTTATTTCTGTCTAGAAATGTTTGTATTCTTATTTCTATGGACTTGTCAGTTTATAACGCCATTGAATCTGGATCTTGAATGAAGCTAGTTAAAAATTAGGGGATAAACTGTAAGAAGTGGTCTGTTACTTTGCTATGGGTATCATCTCTGGATATACTGTAAAGCCTGAGGCAAAACATTTGAATGAATTTCAACGTAATGTGATTTATTATGGGAATAAAAGAGTAATAGTGATGCTATCCCAACACTTTCCTGCATATCTAGCTATGATGAATAAAGATGTTACGGTGTTGCAACAGATTTGACAAAGCACAGTTGCAAAAATCAAAACGTCTTCCTTACCTTCAGACTTACCCTCTGAATCTTGCTCCTACATTATTATTCACTGCATCATAAATGTGAAGACAACTTTATTACATTCTTTTCAGGAACGTCTGTGTGTATTACATTGTTGTGATGAAATAGAGAGCTAATTTAATCTTTGTGGTTTAACATACCAAAACACCGTGCTGGTCACTGTAACATTTACTGTTATGAATAACTCCAGTGGAATTTACAATTGGATCACTAATCTGAGGAGCATCTATAGGTCAAGCCTTTATTTAGTTGGTTCCTGGCAGTGTGACAGTTGTAGAGTTTACTGCTTTTGCAGATAATGTAAGATTGCATCTCTGTGAGACAGGATATATATCTATTTTAATCTTATAGGTAAATCTGTCTTAACAAATCCAGTAGAGCCATAAACTTGTGTGACATTTTGTTTCAAGCATCACTCCTATTTAAATGGGAGCTCTGTGCCAGTAGAGCAGGGTATGACCCAACTCTGTTCAGGATGTGAGATAAGATGAACAAGAAGGATAGATTCATCCTGGCAGCTTCTTCTTTGGGGCTCGTGGATAACATTTAATAAGTGCTGAAAATCTATTTAAAATAGTAACAATTTTTTAAAAACAATTCACTTACCTGTTTGTCATTCTGGTGCTAAAACATTTTTCATTTCAGTTGCTGGTGCATTCACCGAAGAAACCACGCTTTTTTTGTTGTTTGGTTGATAGGATTTTGCGTTGTTGTTTTATGTTTTCCTGCTGTAATATTTTTAGGTAAAATACTCTCAAATGGTCTAAAACACTTTCTTTTTTTCCTCAGGTGTTCCAGTTACTTACTGATCTTAAGCAGCAGCGCAAAGAGAGTGGAAAAATCAAGCAGAGCTCTGGTCAGCAGAATCTGAACACAATCATGTATGAAGTGAGTAGCACTGTGAAATTCCTTTGCAAATTAGGCCAAGCTGGAGTAATTCGTATTGTTAGGTCTGTATATTAATAGTTTTGTATCAAATTTCCCCTATTAAAAAACACAGTAAAATATTTTATTTGCCACTTTTCTGTGGTCAGTTTATTCAGGTTATAGGCTAACTGTGCTGTCAGCACAGAGGCATGCAGCTGCTCTTATTAAAATCTATCACAAAAAAAATAAAAAAACACCCCTGTTTTTTTAGATGTTTAGTTTCATGGGCATTTTTTTGTTCCAAACATTCTGTCCTTTTAAGACCCAGGGCAGAACTTGATGTCATCTGATCAATTGATGATACCATGTAATCATGATTTCAAAGCTGAGGCACAGATCACATATGGTGTTTTTTTATTAACAGAATTAAACTAATAATTTCCAACTAAAATAGATTATTTTTTTCATCAAAAGAATAACAAAATCATATATATGGATAGCAACATCAGTTGGATGCCAGATTGGTAATAAATATTTAATCAGTTGCTAGGAAGAACTTTTAAAGTCATATAATACAAATATTAACATTTGAAATATCTCAAATTAGCAGCTTCCTCATAGACTTGCAGTATGACCTATCGTGGCTGTGTCTCAGAATTGCATGAGTAGCACCACGATTGGCAGCGAGTTGAAAGCAGTTTGCGTTGCTTGCATGAGTAATCCTGTTGAGCAGTGAAACTACTCATGTGAACAAGATTTGGCCTAGGCTCTGTTTTTGTTTTAGTTCTGGCTTTGTTTGAAAAGGTATAGAGTTGTAATTCCTAAGCCTCATATTCAACAGAATAAGGGCTTACAAAAAAAATCTATTTTAAATCTTCGTGGAGACTAACAGTCTCTTCCTGTACTTTTTTGAAACAGCTGAGAAAGATCCTGTAAGTATATTTTGTCAGAATGCACCTTAAAGCTTTAATTGCCTTGTTATATTGCTACATGTTAAATACCTATAGGATGCTCGTGTTTGTGCGTGCAGTGAAGCTAATGTAAACTCTAGGTGTATTTTCTTTATATTTGACTGAAAGAAAACCAGAATTTGATCTTACGGGATTGTCTTTGTTCATACGGAGCATATCTTCATGAGCTCTGTGCAGGCTTGTATCCATTGGTACTGAAATAACTTGATGAAGCTTGCTATACTGGAGCTATGTTTTGCTGTATGTCTGGCATTTTAATTGATTTGAAATTGCCAAAAAAAGACTAAACTAGAAAAGAAATAACTCCTATTAAATAATTTTATTACATGACAGTATGATGATTTCATTTCAGCCATTATTACTGAATAACAACTTCAGTTTATCTGGAAAGGTCAGACAGGGCTTACAGGAAGGAGAGTTAACACCTTATTGTGCTTTTAAATATATTTCTCAGTAGTCCAATGAAACTGGTCCTTAAGAATACCGGTGATTCATATTTCATCAACACTCTATCTGTTAAGTAGGATTATGTGGTGGTTTAAGAGCACTGTACCAGCTACTAGGAAGAAAATTAATTGTATTCCAGCCGAAACCAGGACAGGTGAATTATCCAGTGTTATTCAAGTCTGTTTTCCTTTACCTAGCATTTTTACATGGGAACAGATTTTAATGGAAATACATTCGAAATACATTTGCATATTTTCCTATTTACCATACTGACCTTGTAGCTCATTTTTTCCCAGTATCTGTTGTTTTCTGCTCTGCGAATACTGGTTCAGCTTTTTTGGCTTCTGACTTTTCAAACATAAATATTGAGTTTACAGATTTTTCTGAGAAAGAAACTCGGAGTATCATACAGAATTTAACTTTTCTTTAATTATTATTGTAGATATTGTATCCTACCACACGTATGTCTGTATTTGCAATCCAGTTCATGCATCATGAGTGAGTTGTATTGATACTTCTAAGCTTTATGTATAGCCATGCAGTATCAACAGATTAAGATTTTCTTCCTTAATTCAAAACAAACATTGACAATACTCTTTTAAATCCTTCAGTTGCTGATGCACACACTGCAGACAATGCAAGCATTTCCTTGTCTTTTGCATTGATGCTCATTATTTCCAGCTCTTCATTTTGGGGTCTCATCCAAGTGACAAGGAACATTCAGGAAGATTCTAAGCTGCTTCCGCTGAAAGGACAGCTGTGAACTGGAATATGTGTGGGTTTTTTATCAACAAGTTTTTTTTCACTCAGGTCAAATTACATTATGTATTATCTGTCTGCTAGGTGTTGTGTTGTTCTAAATAAAGCAAGCAGATGTAACGTCTGCTTCAAAAGTTAGCTGAGGTTGGTAGGTGTTACATGTAAAAAATGGAGCAAAGATAAATTGTCTCAACTCAGATAAACATTTCTAATACTACAGTATTTTGCAGATTTTCATGACAACCCACCTAACTTGCTTCTATGAACTTTAAGAAAGTATTGACAAATACGCATATAAAGGGTGAAAACAACCATAGATTGGAGAGCTTAATAAGTTATTTATGGGTTGGCAGTGAGAGTATCCCTGGCATGAAACATGAAAATTTGGCAGAAGGTAACATAGTGTTAAGGATGAATAGTATTCAACTTTTCTGAAGTGTTACTGCTTTTAAAAAACAAAACAACAAAAAATAAACACCACAAAAAAAAACCCCAAACCCTGTATCTGAGTACCTTTTAAAACTAGCATTGAATCAGTAAATGTTGGTTTTAAAAGGAAAAGTAAATTTGAGTGATAACTATTCAGCACAGCTGTAGGTATGTCTTGATCACAGTCTTAGCATCACCTGACATTATTTCAAACCAAGAAAGCAAATGTCTTTCAGAAACAGCAGGTGTTTTTTTGAGTAGACAGAGCTAAAACTCTCTCCTTTCCTGTACTCTTCAACATGTGACTTTGGGCTTTGAACAGATCAGATAAATGGCCATCCAAAGCCACAGAGGGTATAGTCAAAGTTGTAATTCTCACCTGGGTATGCAATGAGCTGGCTGGGTCATGTCTTTACAGAATGAATTCACTGGGGCTTTCTAGATAAGTACTAGTGTAATTTCCATTACATAAAATTGTAGTTACATATTGCCTGTTTCTTACTTCCTCAGTAAATATCAGTGTAGTCTTAGTGAAGACAGAAAAGTGTGAGTGATCTGTGTCGTCTATGACTGCACTTCCCACTGTTAAAGAAAAAAAAAAAGTAAAAAGCCAAACCCTAAAACCTGAATTGGCTCTTCCAGTTTTTCTGGGTAGTACTGATGAGGCTTTTCAAAACCAACTTGTTTCATACAAAACTGGTAAAGCGAATAGTAACTGAAATAATGTGTACTTTCTTTCTGTCCGTTGCAGACACTGAAGTACATTTCAAAAACACCCTGTAGATACCAGAGTCCTGAGACTGTGAGAGATTTCCTCATAGCAATGAAAAGCCATAAGCTAACCAAGTAAGTAGAAATGTGCCTTTGAATAAAAGTATAAACTCATGGCAGTGTTGAAAAACTGATCCCCGTGTACACAGTATGATAATCTGTCTCGTTTTGATCAATGTATTTTAAGTATTTTCTGCCGTTATTTAAATACTCATCCAAACATCTTTCCCTTCACTCGTTAGCGCCTACATGGATGGGTATTTCCCTAAGTGGACCTGTGTTTACCAATGTATTTCTCAAACAGATTCTTGTCAGTATTTTGGTTTTTAGCATGGTTTCACGTGGTCCAAGCACAAAGCAGAGTTGCTGAAATGTTTTCTGAGGAAGAAGTTGTAAGTTGTAAATAGGTTTTGAACATAGTAAGAGAACTGCAAAAAAAACCCCAACTCAACCTCGGCTCATTATCAGTCTTACTTTTATGAACTTCCTTAGGCAAAAATGCATTCCTTCCTGAGAGGCAAAAAAGGTGACTGTATTCCAGGGAGGTAGTAAGTAAATGAAATCCTAATACAGATGTGTGGGAAAGAATGTTATTCCGAAGTTAAGTTTTATGTGACACTGTGAACCCCAGTTACCACACTTCATCTCTCAGGGTTATGCTCTCTAGATGGTGTTTAGCAAACTAAGATGTTCATCTTGTCTTTTTGTGCCGTTTGTCCACTGATATTTATGTCCACTAGGATTTCTGAGATGTACGTTTCAGTTACCTAAATATTATGTCAATCAACCTTTTTCCCCTCCCCTGCAGTTTCTAGCAAAGCTGAACAAACAATTCATTCTTCTTATTTTGGGAATTCCTGCGTAGGAAAAAAAAAAAAATTTCCTTCACAGTTACAACAAGACCCAAAGGGCATTTTTCCTCTTTGGCTGCGGTGCAAATGCCTGTTCATGGTGCTTGAAGCGCATAATCCTCTTGAACCTCTCTCTAGAGTGTGAGCAAAGCCTGTTGTAAATAGTCGAACCCAAAAGAAACTGGATCAGTTGGCTACTTGCTTGCATAGCTCTAATCAGTCATCTCATTTTTAAAGCAGAAAGAACAAAGACTCAGTTGCTTCTAAATGCCTCTTTCTTGACTGCAAAGGAGTAGTTTATACTGTATAGACACTGACTGCATTTTTCTTCCTTGCTGGAAGGACTCCCAAGGAGTTCATGCGTTGGGAAGGAGGCTCTTAATAATAATTTGGTTGTGTCACAAAAAGAAATGCAAAGTGAGAGCGTCTGGAGAGTGCAGTGCTACAAGGCAAGTTTTTACCCTGTCCAAAGCATAGTAAGTTGAGTAGAAAGCAGATTGTCAGCTATTTTGTTGACTTTCGTTGCCCCCTCTGTACAAACAATTATGCTCACATCCAGTGTATCAGCAGCTCTAATGACAGTATTGCTGTCATTGCAGACACAGGGATGCTAGTACTTGGAAGCTTTGTCATGGGTATTGTAACTTTGCTTGTAGCGCTTTCTTTTGTAGAACTAAAGTTACCAGGTCAGTATGTCAGCGTTTAGTCCTCCCATAGCTCATCTTATATAGCAGGATACTAATTTATGTAGTGGGCAAGGTATCTTAATTATTTTCTGACATGGAGGTATCGAAGCATGGAGAAAATACTCTGTTTACTGTAAGAACTGATAGGATGGAAATGAAAGAGAGCGTCTTAAAATTGGCAGCAAACTATTTCTTGAGTAAGTAGTGAGCATCTTTCATTTCTGGTAATGTGAAACAGTCATCCTGTCTGAAGTGAAACGAGCTTGTTCAGTCTGTACAGGACAGCAGTTTAGGAAAGCACCAGAAGAATGCTGTATCACAGCAAAAAGCCATCGGGAGTTAAAAAGGCAGAGTAGGATTTTTCAGAAATAACTGAATGACTTAGGTAGAAGAGTCCTATTAAAAGTCAAAGGGCTCTTTTTTGTTTTAAAGCTCACTTCTAAACTACTTTCTGGTAGAATTTGACCAGGACCTAAGGGTTAACTCTTACAAAAAGCAGGGGAGCTCTGTTACCACGTTAGATACCTTGGCCACATCTGCTCCACCATACGGAGTCTCCAAGAGTGAAGTATGAAACGATGTTGGATCATACCACAGAAAATTCTAGCTCAGTCTGTCATAGTGCCTGGCTGTTTTGTAGACGCGTGCATGTTCTATGAGCTTGAATATAGCACTGCTACAAAGGTTGACATAGTTACAAGCTTAAAATGAACTTTTTGACCATTTAATTTTTTTATGGGTGCTAGAAGGTGCCTTTGGTTTTAGGTATCATCCTCTGTATCCTTTTTCTCTGAATCAGTCTGTAAGATAAGCAAGAGAATTATCCTGAAGTAATTTCCTTCTGCGTAATGGCAGAAGGATGAGAGTGAAGAGCCAGACACTGGTTTAGTTTACAAATTTATTGCATTTATGGCTTATCAGAACTCAGATTGGACTGTGATACCTTAGTTCTTGAGCATCCTGTACAACTTTTACTTTGTTAGTGTCTTTGTCATCTGGTAAAGAACTTGTCAGCTCTGCATTTGCCACATACTTTACAGAATAAGAAATGGAATTGTTCAGTGTGATCCTGGCACTTCTTCTTTCTTCTAATCTTTTCCGTTCAGACACTTCAAGCTAGAAGTATCAGAGCCCATCTGGCAGCCTCTTCACACCAAAACACAGAAAGCATATGGTGTGCAGTTACTATATGATGCACTTTATGTTAAACCACTTAAAATAGTAATGCCTCCAAGGAAATTTTGAACTACCCTTTGGTTCATAACCAAGATCATTTCAACACTGCTCTGTTGTTAAATAAATGAAAAAATAAAGGCTTTAATAATTTCCATTCTGTGGGATAGAGGTGGTATTTGTATAAACGACTTCACTAGAGATTTTGTTCCAGTTATCTGGTAGAGAGCTTTCTTCTCCTTTGAGAGGAAGGAACCTGTGATGTTTGCTCTCCAGGACCTTGCTTACATGATCTTGCTGTAACGACCTTTCCTCCCACAAAGAGTAATGAAGTCCAGAGTCTGTCTTTGCTGCTTCCGTTCTGGATAAGGCATTCAAAGATGTGCTCTCTCCCTTAATCTCTTAGCTGGTCATACGCTGTCTCTGCTGGTAACAGTTTTCTGAAGGTAGCTGATTTGATTTAAGCTGTATGTTAGTTGGTGTCTCTCCTCAGTGAGGGCATAGCAGCATTTTCTGTTTTCTCATTGCAAGAGCAATAGAGAATCTGGTTAAAAGACACGACTGCTCAGAAACATCCCGTCATCTTAGACTGCTTCCTCTGCTGTTCGAGTTCCTTGTTATGACTCTGCCTCTAATCAAGGAAAAAACAATTAAGCAGTGTGTTTGTACTGTTAATTAGGCTCAGCAACTTCTTTTCTAATACAGGGGCTTCAGGGCTTTGAATATAAGAAGGATTTGCAGCTCTGTGTAAAAACCTGATGGACGTAGGTAGTGTGCTGAGCTGGGTTTCCCCACTCAGCATCCTATTGCAGCACTCAAGCACTAGGTTGTGCTAGTGTATGCCAGAATGTCAAGGCAGTGAAAGACCAGACACCATCCAGAGAGGCATGAAGAATTGAGGCACGTTCATTTAAAGAACCGGAGCTTTTAATCAAGTGAATTCTCGCTTTTCCTGCCCTCCTTCCACAAATCTGCAATACTAACCATGCGGAATGCATCACTCATCAGGCTACACGCAATGTCCTGAAACATTCTGGCTCCAGTTAGAGAGTTGATAGCATTGTGCTGGCAAATGGTGCAGTTGCTGTAAAATCACCTCAAGTCTTTTATTTCTGTTATTGCTGATAGTTGCTACTGAAAACCTCAGGTTAACAGCCGAGCATATCTTTTTCACTGAGAGCCATCCAGTTTGTGATGAGTTTTTCTCATTAGTGTTACAGGCAGAAAAAAAAAAATTGTTCCTAAAAGGCAAATTTTAAAAATAAATACTAATGTGTACAAACAACTTAAACCTTTCAGAGTAATTTCAGATAGCTGCCTTGCTACATGGAGCAAAATCAAAGAGATCTAAACATATGTTTTACTAATATAGTCAGTAAAGTATGGTAAAGCACTTTTTTTTCTTTGCAATCAGTTATTTTGGTAAAATTGAAGCTGTAGAACAGATTTTTCTTTAAATGAAAAGTTGTGAACTGACATCATAGTGAATTTTATTATTACCTTTTTGAGGCCTCAAGCTTTGGCTAATGCTAAAGTACAGTAAGCCATGTTGTACTTGGAAATACAGTATGCCACTAGCAGCTAATTTTCCAGTTTTAGTCCCTGGAATGGCTTCATATTTTATAAGGTAGTGCGGATGGCTTTACATGAAAAGAACATTTATTAGGCTTGCACTCTGTAATTACAGTAAAATGAAAATTGCCTCTACTTGTACTTCTCCCTGTTACTGATAGCCTATCTTAGATCTAATTTTGGAATAATCAAATTTCCAATCACTGTGTATTATTTTAATTTTAAAAAATTGGATGTAAACATTGCCTTTTTTGTCTTTAAATCAACAATTTCAAGGAAGTGTTGAGCTGAAAATCAGTTAGAAAGTATTTTCCCTCATTACTGCCAAAAACTACAACAAATATAAACCTCTAAAATATTAAAGGCTGAATGATTTACTTTGTAATTTTTGTCTCCTCCAGAGCTTTCAAAGTGAATATTCAACACCAAAGTCGGGATGGTGCTAGTTTAACAATGGCATCATTTAAGAGTCTTTAAAAAGACTATTGTGTTTCCCTCTGAATTGCTTGGAAATTAACCCTCTGATCTGTAGCAGTGTTGCTCAGTTTTTTGCATTCAGATACCATTATCAGCCCTCAGATTTCATCCTGGACAAATGTACTGACACTGAAGTACACTGGTAACTGCTGTGGAGAATACAGCCCAATATGTTTCCACAGACCACGTGCAGACTGGTAGTGGGATTTCACAGACCACGGCTCAGGACTGCTCATCGGAAAGCCAGATCCTGTCATCTTGATTCAGATGACGTTTTAGATGAGTTGCTGTGGTTGACTCAAGACGATAGGATTTG